GTATGTACACTGCAGGCAGCGGTTGGCCTCTATCACCAATAAGCGTGGTATACGACAGCAGCAGAAAGTGTTTTCAGAGTACTTTTATGATAGCAGCTCGCTCTGTGTCTTTGCCTTTGGGTTTGTCTGCTGCAGCACGTGCTGTGCTGCTGCAGGGGTTCAAGCGGCAGCAAGAGGCCAGGCTGCTGCGGCGATCTTTCTCTCTCTCCCGCTTCTGTACTCTCCCCCTCGCCTTCTCTCGTGCTCACTCTGCTCTGCTGTCTAGACAGGGGACCCTACACTGGCGCCTGTATAGACACCCCGGAGAAGAAGCAGCAGCACAGGATGCTCCGGCACCACCTGTTGCTGTTGCTGTTAAGATTAACCAGCAGCAGCTGCAGCAGCTGCTGCTGCTGCAGCAGAAAGAACTAAAACAACAAACCCAACAGCAAAGCGAAAAAACGTCAGAACAACAATCGCAGCAGCAGCAGCAGCAGCAACAGCAGCAGCAACAGCAGCAACAGCAGGACGGCATAGGCAGCCAAATCCAACAGCACAGCAAGGACGAGGAGCCCATGCAGGTCGACGGCGAAGTGGCGGACAAGCAGCAGCAGCAGCAGCAGCAGCAGCAGCAGGCGCAGCAGCAGGAAGCGCAGCAGCAGCAGCAGCACGACGAGCATCAGAAGCAGCAGGAGGAGCAGCCGAGTTGCCAGGCCCAGCCACAGGATCCAGACCCTCAGGAACAGCAATCCGAGCAGCAGCAGCAGCAGCAGCAGCAACAACAGCAGCAGCAGCAGCAGCAGCAGAACGAGGATCAGGAGCCGAACGAAGCCGAGCATGAGGGCGAAGACTCCCAACCCCACCAACACCAACAGCAACAGCAGCAGCAGCAGCAGCAACAGCAACAGCAGCAGCAGCAGGAGCAGCAGGAGCAGCAGCAGCAGCAGCAGGAGCAGCAGCAGCAGCAGCAGGAGAAAGGGGGCTGCGTGCAGCTGAAGGTGCAGCTGTATCCTAACCCTCGGTGTATACTGGGGCTTGAGGAGGGGGGTAAGAACGATCGGGGTGTACGTACACCGTGGCTGTGTAGAGACTGTGTGTGTTGTTTGTATTGTTGCGAGCCCATAGACTTGCTGCTGACAACAGAGAGAAGTCCTGCTGCTGTTGCTGCTGCTGCAGCAGCAAACAGAGCAGCACCAGGCACAGCTAGCACAGCAGCAACACAGTATGAAGCTGCCTACCAACAAGTCCTCAACTGCCACTGCTGCAACTCTTATGCTCATGGCGCTTGCTGCTATCCGAGTGTACGTACAGATGCTCTTGCTGCTGCTGCTGCTGCTGCTGCTGTTGCTGCTGTTGTCGCTGCTGTTGTTGTTGCTGCTGTTGTTGCTGTGCTGTTGGTGCTGCTGTTGTTGTTGCTGCTGTTTTTGTTGCTGCTATTGTCGGTGCTGCAGTTCTTGCTGTTGCTGTTGTTGCTATACTGTTGCTGCTACTGCTACTGCTGCTGCTG